GGCCTCCATCTCCGTGGGCCACAAGATTGTCATAACCAAGATAGTCTCCCAGGATAGAGTAGTTTTTTCTAACAATGCTTGCACACAATTGGTTTGGTGATTAAACCATAGCATCATTTTGATTGGATGCAAAGGGAGTGCACTGCTTTTACAGTCATTGTTGTGTGCACCTCCCTTCATGTGCCCGTACTTTACATACATGTCACTTCAGTAATGCCAGTAAGGGGAAAATAACACAGACAGAAACCAGCAGAATCTGGCAACTATGCATGTAAGAATCAATAAATAAAATGTCTATCAGGCCACACAGCCAATGGGCTGCAAATGGCCCTCGAGCCACAGGTTGCCCACCACTGTGTTGTCAGGTTTGTGTTTTGATGACTTAGCTAAGGTGTTTTATACAGAACCTAATAAAAAGATAGGGGTTTACTTCCCCTTTAGTACTAATCTTGAAAATCTTGACATTACAGAAGCACCTTGCCACTGCGTTAGAATTGTTGGCATAGATTTTAACAGTTCAGAAATTCATTTATGATAACTTGGTATTTGAGTTTTTCAGCTTTGGAGAAATGTTGGATAGTATGATTAAAAACAAATATTTCTTCAATATCAAATTGGAAAAAAATTGCTTGATATAAATCTTTAAAAAATATAGCTAGTCTCCACAAAACTAGAGTTTGTATTTTGATTGTAACAGCTACTTTTGAATTAAGTTGGGTTTTTTTGTGGTTTTGTGCCATGGTGAGAAGCCAGGCTCTCTTATCTTTTTCTTCTTACATTTTCCTGTTATTTTCAAAAACTGTATTTGCATTCTTTAAGTTATGTCAACTTTTGAGTAATTTTTATAGTAATAAGCATAGTATAGTACCTTTACTAATTTTTTTCTAAAGCTTTGTATTCCTTAATGTCTCTTTTTTGCTATTTAAGATTTTATGCTGCTGAAATTTGTATTGCTCTGAACTTCCTACATGAGAGGGGGATAATCTATAGAGATTTAAAACTAGACAATGTTCTGCTAGATGCAGAGGGTCATATCAAGTTAACAGATTATGGCATGTGCAAGGTAAGGTTCTTCTCTGATTTTTCTTTCTTATAATTCTACTGTGAATCTCTGTATTTTAACTTGACTTTGTCAAATTGTCTTGAATGAAATTCTGCAGCCAGCAATATCAGGGTTAACCTGAGGTATGGAGTTTGCCTAGATTAACATAAAGTATAAATGAGCCTAGAATTCTCTCTTAAACTGAAGTTCTGCTCTGAAAAATGACTTCTGTAAAACAGCATCAACTTTGATTAACAAATCTATTTTCCTGTGTGTATTCCAAGCTGTATTGCTGAATAACAGGACAAATATAAAGTTCTTAACAAGATAAATTTAGATCTGCAAATTCAACACAGATCTGAGTTCTGAATTCTTTTCCTTCACATGAATTAACAACAGAACTGTTAACTAAATTCCAACCCCAGATGTGGCCAAACTGATTTTACATCCACATGATTCCACTGAAGGAAATGAATTCTAACTTGCCTTTATTTTGGAATAACCAAATTTTATTACACTGCTTTGCAAATCAAAAAACACAGGGGTCCCATAATTAGTTAGTAATTCATTATTGATTGCCCTTTTGACTAGATGAAGTGCAAGAACATGTGATGCTACAGATGCAGCTATGAGAATGAGGCTCTGCCTCATGCCATCTGCAGCAGTAAGCTCCATTCCAGAGCATGGCCACTTCACCACAGCCTTGTGCAGAGTGGTTTAAGGCAATTCCAGCATCTGTGAGCATGATTTTTGTTCCCTTTTATTCTGGACTTCAACTGCTAGTTAAGACTGGATGTTGTGATTTCTGATGAGGAACAGAAGTGAATTACCATAGTTCATATGATGATCCCCTTTGACAATCAGGTCACTGCCTTTGAGTCCCAAGAATGGAAACTAGAGGAATACACTTCATCTCCCTATTCCCATCTGATACTTTGAGAGAATAGGGGTAATCCACATTGCCATTCATATGCTGGTTGTCAAAGCACTGGGTGCCTGGGACTCCAAGAATGAGACTGTTCTGAGACTGGAAGGAGTCCAGATGCTACTGCAGGATGATGGGGCAGTAGATGGTTTTGGATACCACTATACTGAATGTGTTACTGGACTTTGCCAATGTGAGGATAATATGATCCAGACTACAAACTGAGACGTGGCAAGACTGAAGGATTCTTCATACTGATTTACCTAGAGTACTCTATTTTTCTATGTTATATGCTTAACCACTAATCCTCATCTGTATTTTTTGCTGCAGGCAATTGTCAGCTCATATCACTTGCAGTCCATGGTTATAATGTTGGTTTTGATGAGCATGAACTGATATGGCTGGAGTATTTATAGTGTATATTCAACATTTTGCATTCTGTAAATATTCTCTTATAAGTTTTTAATCCTGATTCATATATGATATAACCTCTTTTAGGAGACAAACCCTTCAATTCCAGAGGGATGGTATTGATTAATTAATACAATAGATCTTTACTATCTCTAATTTTTATGAACCTTTGTAGAAGTTCTTTTTACACCAATATTCCACATGAAGATGGATTAGTGGCTGTCGGGAACACTATCCCTGATGACACCACTACACGACTGGTTACTGAGCTCTGTGACTCGGTCCTCACTCTCAACTGTTTCCAGTTTGGAGACAATTCATATCTTCAAGTCAGTGGCACAGCCATGGGCACCCGCATGACCAACATCTTTATGGCTGACCTTGAACAACAATTCCTCAGCTCTTGCCCCCTAGCACCGTCACTCTACTTATGCTACATTGACGACAACATTATCATATGGACCCACAGGAAGGAGACCCTTGAAGAATTTCACAGGGATTTCAACAACTTCCACTGCACCATCAGCCACAGCCTGGACCAGTCCACACAAGATATCTACTTCCTTGACACTACAGTACAATTACACGATAGACACATTTCCACCACTTTATACCGGAAACCTAACGAACGTTACACTTACCTACATGCCTTTAGCTTCCATCCAAGACACATAGCCGAATCAATTGTTTACAGCCAAGATTTAAGATACAACCGGATTTGCTCCAATCTCACAGACAGAGACAAACACCTACAGGATTTATACAAAGCATTCTTAAAACTGAAATACCCACCCAGAGAAGTGAAAAAACAGATTAACAGAGCCATATAAGTACCCAGACATCAGCTACCTCAAGATAGGCCCTACAAAGAAAACAGAATACCACTTGTCATCACCTATAGCCCCCAACTTAAACTTCTCCAACATGTTATCAACAGCTATAACCTATCCTGGAAAATAACCCCTCACTCTCACAAGCCTTGGGTGACAGACAACCCCTGAACCTCAAACAAATTCTTTCCAATAACCACTCGGCACACCTCCATCACACTCATCCCAGAACCCAGCCCTGCAATTAACCCCAATGCCAATTCTGAACACACATCTATACAGGCAATATCATCACAGGACCTAGCCATGTAAACCACCACATCAGAGGCTTGTACAACTGCACATCTGCTAATGTGATCAGTGCCATCAACTGCCAGCAATGCCCCTCTGCCATGTATATTGGCCAAATTGGACAGTTTCTATGAGAGGAAAATTAATGGACACAAATTAGATATCCAAAAAGGCAACACACAGAAACCAGTTGGGGAACATTTTAACTTGCCCGGGCACTCATTAATGGATCTCAAAGTTACCATATTATTATTACAATCCAGTTTCAAAAGCCTGCTCCACGGGAAAGCTGCAGAACTTAATTTCATTTACAAGTTTGATTCCTACAACAGAAGACTAAATAAAGAAGTTGGCTGGGTGGCCCACTACATTCCACATCCTAATGACACACAATAAAACAAACAAAGGGTACTTAGAGTGGGTGCTAAGTATTATCAGCTTAATTTACCATGGACACACTAATTGACTATTCTTTTCCCTTTTTTTACACTTTTTTCCTCTTCTTTCTCCCCCATCCGCTCTCTGTGCTATTTATTTTAAAAACTAGACCCCTTACACTCAATTAATCTGAAGTGGATTGTGCCAACAAAAGCTCATGATACCATCTACATTTTTATTAGTCTCTAAGGTGCTGCTAGATTATTTTTTGTTTTTTAATTTTTCCAATATTTGAATTGTATTAACCCTTTTCAATGACTGACTCATGGAGGGTTGAAAATATCAAATACTTTAGTGTTGGCATTGGAACTTTTTGGCTCTGAATAGCACTTTAGAGTTTGAATAGCACTTCAGAAATGTTGACCAAATACAACCTGTACCTGAAAAGTGACTGAGACAACCTTATATTGGGCTGTATTTGTCTATTAGTAGCCTGATTTTAAAATGAATTGGTATTTTAAAAAAGTCAAAGTAGAGATTAAGAAGCCCAATTAAATTAATAAACTAGGGGATCAGACTTCTTCGGGGGCTTGTGATGAGCTATTGCCTCTTTTGCCTTTGCATTGTTGGTTTGACACATGCTAATACTTACTGACAGTTGTTGTCTCAATTATTTGTTGGCCTATGTGAAATGAGATGAGGGTCTAAGTCTAGTTTCTTGTGAACCACCAAATCCACAAAAGCAGCACTCCAACTAGCACCCTTTTTTGTTAATTTCAGCAGGTCCAGGGATTGAATGGACCAAATTAACTGAGTTGCTTTCTCAGTCTTAACTGGCGTTCCTCCAGTTCATGATGAACATTAGAAGTAGGGTACTTTGCAGGAGCTTGTATTGTCACTGCTTGTGATACGCTCTTTCAAGAATTCTTATCATTTGCAACTCCAATGGAGAACCTGTAAAAAAATTATGAGTTGTCTTTTAAAATAAATAAACACCTCCCTACTTCCCCACAAATGAGACAAACTTTTTTTTGTCTAAAAGAAACATTATAAATATCAGGATTAGTAATATATCACACACATATACCGCGATGAAGGGCTATGCAAAAATTTATAAACCAACCTTTATGTCTGGAATTCTGTTGGTGTAAGGTGGCATCTTTGATTCCTGGTTTAAAATTCGTTTGAAAGCTTATGAAATTCCTTTAGGTTGAATTTAACTTTTTCGGAAGATGAATTGGTTTATTTTCATAGGAAGGATTGGGCCCTGGTGACACTACAAGCACTTTCTGTGGAACGCCAAATTACATTGCGCCAGAGATCCTAAGAGGGGAAGAATATGGTGAGTTGGTACATAAACTTGTAATAGTTTAATCACTCTAAATTACTAACTTAACTTCCAATTTCAGTGCACTAAGAGTACTCTTTTAATTAAGCTTACATGTTTTTACTCCGTGTTATAAAGGCAAGATGTGTTTTCTGAAGTTTTATTTAATTTTCTCAGTTGTACTTCAGACAATTTTAGTGTTAGTGACCCACGTAATCGTGGATCTGCAACTTCTGTTAAATATATTTCCAGAAAGGGAGAGCTTTTCACTGAAAGAGAAGTCCTGCAATGTGCTGCAGAGGAAATAACACAACACAACCCGCTTATGCTGGTTTGACCTTTCAGTGTAACTGTTTGGATCAGGGTGTCTGACAACAAAACAGAAAACATAGCATTCAAAACAGTAGTACACTTGGGCGTCTCTAAACCGAGATTTCTGGTCCAACACTATCTGTGGTCCAGAAAGCACCAAGGCCAGGAGCCTCATGGCAGTGGGCTGGTGTTTGGCAACCCGACCAGGGGTAGGAGCCCACAGCCATACTAGCTGGCTTCCAGCAGCCCCAGCTGCTGGGGCTGGGAGCAGAGCTGGCAACCCCAGCCAGCAAATTCCCTAGTTCGAGATAGTTTAGGTCTGGAGGGTGTCAGAAGGGTGCCAGGGAGGTCCACCCTGTAGTTTACAGGAACACTCTGACTACTATTGTGAATTGAGAAGTGACCCATCTAGATGGTAAAATACCTGACTACAGGTTGAACCTCTGTGGACTGGGACTCTCTGCTCCGGCAACACCCATGGTCTGGAAGGATTACGAGTGTTGCTGGACTAGAGCCCCAGCACAGAGGTTGCCATGAGCTGGAAGTAGAGCCGGCTGGCAGGGCCAATCGGGCAGCAGAACCCACAGAGCATGAGAAACCACAGCTGGCCAGGGGTGGGAGGGCACCGGAGCCCCTGGGGCTGGCGGGCACTGCAGCAGCCAGGGGAGCTGGGCAGCAGTGGCAGGTAGCTGGGGAGAGGAGCCCAGCAGAAAGGTTGGTCTCTCCCCTCCCCCTCACTCCCAAGACCTTTCCTGGTCAAGAAAACTCCCTCATCTGGGACTGGTCAGGCGCCAAGGGAGCCAGACCAGGGAGGTCCGACCTGCACTGTCATTTTCCTGTATGGTAACATAGCATTCGCAACTTTCAAAAACCCCAAAGTACTTTCTAGCTGTAAGAAGTAATATTGACCTTTGTCTTGTTAAGAGTACTGCTAATTGAAGCCTCAGTCTCTTACGGACATTTATGGTCAATCTACAATTTCCTGAACAAATTACCTTTATTAATTTTTTCCAAAGTGCTCTATTAAGGACTATTCCTTAAGGCATTTAGCCTTGCTGCTAGCAGTTTCAGTGGGAGTTGAGGATTCTCAACACTTTGCAGAGTCAGGCCCTCTATCCCCATAAATGATACAATAAATGTCATTGTAATGATACCTAGAATCTCAGGATTTACTACCTGAAAATGTGCTCTTTAAATTCTTATAGGGTTCAGTGTGGACTGGTGGGCTCTTGGTGTCCTGATGTTTGAAATGATGGCAGGAAGATCTCCTTTTGATATAATAACAGACAATCCAGATATGAACACTGAAGATTACCTCTTCCAAGGTATTTAAGATATGTTGTTGTTTTAAGTTTCATTTTTTCTTTAATCCCTTTTAAGGAAGGAAGACCAAAACTCGAAATAATGAAAATTAGCCGTCTTAGACGTACTGCAGTTGTGTTGTCTCTTCCTCTTTAATATTCTGCACGGCAAGGATTTGAGAGAGGGCTCAGTAGTTCCCATCATCAATTGGCTACCAGTGATACTAGCATGGGTAAACAGGGTCATGGTATTATTAATTCAGCATTCAAGGAACTTCATTTTCTGAGCAAAAAACTAGGAATCAGAGTAAGTCACTTTCAGATTAAATTTTGTGTAATGATATGTCTAGACTGCAGCTGGGCTGCAAACCTTCAAGCCTGGGAAGACAGATGCAGTCTAGCTCTTCTAAAAATAGCTGTGTGGATGTCATGGCATGGGCAGCAGCTCAGAGTAGCCACAAGGTAGTTGGGCAGGTTATGGTGCCTACCCTGAGCCATCACCCCGTCATAGCATCCACATAGCTATTATTAGCTGGCTAGTTTGAGGGGAGCTACTATGTGTTGATCTTCTTGGGCTGGGAGGCATGCTCCTAGCTACAGTGTTTACTTTCTCAGTGAGAGCTACAATTTATAAGTAGCCATTGAAAACATGGCTCAGAAATCTCGATTTAAATCCGTGAACATTCCCTCTATGAATTGCAGTTCAAAACCACAAATCCATCATATTCAACAGAGAATCAGGGAAAAAGAGAAA